TCCCCGCCTCCACCCCGGCTTCTCGCCGCCTGTCCCCACATCCTCTCTTCCCTCCGCTGGTGCCTTCCACCTTCAGACGCCGGGCTCTCCTGGCCCCCCATCTTCCGAGCCAGCGGGGGTCCCGGTCCCAGGCTTCCGTCTGGCTCTGGTATTCCCCCCACCGCCCCCAGCCCTAGGCCCAGCTTTCCGCCCCCTCCGAGGGGCCGTCCCCGATTCTCGAAGGACTCCAGCCTCCCCGGCAGCACAGCCTTCGATGGAGCCCAGGAGGGAGCGTGGAGCCCCGTTGTGTCACTGGGCCCGGCGCGGGGCCCGCATTCCGGCCTGTGTGCGGCTCCTTTTCCCGAGTCCCCGATGCCCTGTTTAACTCCGTCGAGGCCCCGCTCCGCCTCCCAGGGCCTGCTCGGCCCCCAGCGCCCCTCTAGCTGCTGAGGGGCACACCAGCCCCTCCTCGGACCGCTTCACCGGTTGCAGGGAGGTGCTCTGTTCAGTGTTGGGAAGTCTGGGACCGGAACCCCAGGAGAAAGCCTGCGGGTCGGGCGGGCGGCGGAGGGTGGGGGGAAGGCGCTGCGCCTATCCCGGAGCGCAGATTTGCGGGGGCGGAGGTGGGGGAGTTGGAGGAACCCGCAGGCCTGGATTTGCTGAGACTTGGAGCTGACAAGAGCCGTCTGAGAAGTTCCATACCGGCCCCAGCGGCGGCTGCCCACCCCTTCTGACCCTGGGAGCTTGGGGATCACGTCACCCAATCCCCCTAAAAAGCGAAAGTAACAGGCCTGAGGGAGAGGGCTTGACAAAGGCCACAGGGCGAATGGGCCAAAGAATCTAGGCCTCGCCCCCGCCCCACCTCTTTCATTTCCATTGTTATCGTCCCTGCGGGAAGCGGGAAGCCAGAGGAACTTAGCTCCTCCTTCGGGCCAGACGAACTAGGCAGCTTGACAGAGGTCAGGCCTCGGGCAGGCCCTGGGACCCCACCCCCTAACAAGAAACAGGACCTCCAGTAAAAGGGTCTGGGTCCAAAGTGTCCAGGCCCCTCCACCCTAAGGATAACCCAGCAGCCCCGGCTGCTTCTGGGAAGACCTCCCCCATAAGAAAAGGAAAGCAGAAAGGAAAAAAATCCACTTTTACTGAGTCACACCCAGCTGTAAACATGTCACCTTGAGAACCCCACCCTAACCCCCAGGCCACACAGTCTGCAATGAAATGACTGGGGAGGGTCAGAGGGGTAGGTGCCAAGCAGGGCAGGGGGCAGGCAAGTGCGGCAGGTTTCCAGGAGGAATTCCTGGGGCAGGTGGGATCAGGGCAGGAGAAGGGGGTGAGCTCCCCGGAGCCTCAGCAGGGGCCCTAAAGGACCAGGTGGTTTAGGAAGGCTCCCTGACAGGGCTTCAAGCCCCTCTGCCCTTCCCCTCTGGCCCCTAAACTCCAGGGAGGGCACTCCGCCTGGCCCAGCCACTCAAGGCCTGCCCAGTCAGGTCCAGCTTCTTGCTCCTCTGTGAGCCTCCAGGTTGGGCTGGGGCTCAGGTGAGGTGCTGCAGCTCCTCAGAGTCCAGCCCTAGGTCTGGGCGGCTCTTCAGGGGGCAGCACGGGGCTCCTTCCCCGGGACATGGGTCCCCCCGTGGCTGTCTCACTGGAATGTGGCAGTGAGGTGGGTGAGGAGGCGGGTCATGCTCTGGCCAGTCCTGTCCCTCCTCTGCGTTGGCCTCAGCTACACAGCCGTCTCCTGGTCTTCCCGCTGGATCATCTGGTAGTGCTGCCGGTTCTCCAGGTAGGCGGCCAGCTCCGTGTCCTGAGCCTTCTCTGCCCGTTGCCGGGGAGTGTCGCCCTGGAGGAGGGAGGAGCTGCATCAAGCTTAGGAGAGGGTAGGGGGTCTTCCCTCTGGCTGCCTGTGGGGGAGGGAAGGCCTGGTTGGCCAGGGCAACCCTACTCCATGCTGGCTCAGGTTTCTCAAGGTAGAGGAAGGCTTCAAACCCCCAGAAGTGGCCCTCCCCCAAGGCTCCCTTCTCGACTCCCTGCCTGCCCTGCTAATCTTCTCACCTGCTGGTCTGTCTTCATGAGCGAGGCCCCAGCCTCCACGATGTAGTGGCAGATGGTGCGCTGGCCCAGGGCCGCGGCCTGGTGTAGACAGGTCTCCCCGCTGGGGGCACAGGAGCTGGCTGTGGACCCCATCCAGTCCTCTGGGCCCTCCCGTCTGTCTCCCGAGGGCCATAAGAAAGGGCAGGAAGTTTGGGGCCCTGGGGCAAGGAGGGTGGCCCAGAGGATGACAGATGTGGCCAGGAAGGGTTTATGGGCTCCCACCGGACCAAATGGGAGGCTAGATGAAGACAGGATGGTTTCCAGGGTAACCAGGGTCCTGCACTGCCCTGATACTCACTTTTCCTCTACAGCATCAAGGATCTCTGCGGGGGCTGGAGGAGAGGAGAGAGGGAGGTCATAGAGGCCTGGCAGCCTCTCTTCCTCCCACCTCGGCCTGGCCCAGGGGCCCAGAAGCACAGCTTACCGTGGTCCAGCAGGTAGCGGACCACTTCCTTGCTGCCGGTGCTGACCGCGTGGTGCAGGAGTGTGCGACTTCGATCGTCACGATGCATGAGGTCACCCCCAGCTCGGTGCAGCTCCTGAAGCTGAGGGTAGGAGGCAGAGCAGGGATGGTGCTCCTCCGGGCCACCCTCTTTCCAGTCACAAAAATGCCAAACTCACAGGCCTGACACTAGTGTGCTCAAACACATCACTCCCTAGGAGCCACTGGGGGTCTTTCTGGACGGTCAGGGGAGAGACAATGGGCCTCTCTCACCCCAGGTGCCCATGGACTCCTCAGAAGCACAGGCCTTGGAGCCTCTGTTCCTCTAAGACTCACTCCTTCTAAGCACCAAGGACAGGCCAACAGAGCTAGGGAGCTCCTATGAAGGGACACCGTGGGCGGGATAGGGACAGGGGCAAGGCAGAAGGGGACAATCACCATGGAGACCCCACTGCAGGTAAGACAACTGTGCACAGATCAGCTCTAGGCCTACCCAGAGGCCCCACTCTCCACTGCCTGAGGGGGCTGCTAAGGGGAGGAAGCTGGATCCTGGGCACTAGTACCTTACAGAAGTCGTTCCTCTTGGCAGCCTCAACCAGCTCTTCACCTGCAGGAACACCTGCCTGTTATACACCAGGGCTGGAGGCCTGGGCTCATGTTGGTGCGTGACCATGTACTTGATGTACAGAGAAGGGGGCCTGTTGGGGCATATGTGCTGAGGGCTAGGTTCATGGTGAATGTGACCACATGGATCTCAACAGTTGACTGTGTAAGGTTGTTTATGGGCCCACCTGCCCCATCAACCCCACTCCTATGACCAGGGAGAAAGGAGGGGCCCTGCAGGGAGGGGCCTCACCTTTAGGGGCAGCAGCATCCCCTGGCAGTGACCTACAAACAGAGCAGGATGAGATATGGCACTGCTTCAGCACAAGCCCAACTTGTCACCCTCCCCTACCCCAAACGTGGCACCCTTCATTCTTTCAACAGTTTATTGAGTGCCTCCTATATATCAAGTGCTGCTCTAGGTACTGGCGATACAGCATTAAATACGGACGACGGAGAACTGGCTCTCAGGGAGCTTACATTCTAGCCAGGGACAAATAAATAAGGTATTTTGAGAGCAGGAAGTGCTATGACGAATACAAGCGGGGGTAGTGTAACTGAACAGCAATTTCAGATGAGGTTCCTGGGAAGACTTCTCTGAGGAAGAAAATCCCCAAGCTGAGGTGTGAATGGAGCCAGCTCTGGGGAGAACGGGGAAGTGTCCAAGGCAGCAAGGACACGTCCAGAGGCAGGCAAACTTGAGGCCTCAACTGAGGCGAGTGGGGCTGGACTGTGGGTGGCGATGGAGGGGGCATGGGCAGGCTCAAGCTGCATATGATGAAATGACCTGGTACACAGGGAGGGTACATCACTGTAGGGAGGGTGCTGGAAGAGACGGTTCTAGGCTGGGGAGTATGAGAGAGGGGAGCCAGGGGCATGGTGGCTTGGGTGGGTGATGTGATCACATGTTGGGGGAGAGCTGACAGGACTTGCTGAAGGGTCGGTTTTGGGATGGGAGGAAGCCCAGATCCTTGGCCAGGTTGCTGCCAATGAGTGAGCCAAGGAGGGTCCAGCAGAGACCACGTAGGCAGCTAGCGGGATGTGTGTGGCTGGCGCTCAGGGAAGCGGCTGGGACTGAAGGCAGGACTTCAGGAGCTGCAGGCTTATAGGGGGAACTTATAGCCAGGGGACTGGAGGAGCCTCGGGACTCACCGGGGCGTAGGTGAGCAGGGGGAGGAGGGGAGAGGGGAAGTGGGAGTTGGGAGGTCAGGCCGGGCTGATGCCCCCAACAGCTCTGGGTCCAGGATATAAATCTCGTCCTGTGCGATCTCAGTCACATAGTTGAGGTGTTCCTGTGGATAGGGAGGCCAGGGCTGAGGGTCAGGGCTCAGGGTCATAGCCTTCCGGGGTAGCCGATGGTGGAATGAAGGGCCACAAGGCCAGCACACCCGGCGAAGCCTCTGCTATGGGTACGAACACTAACAAGAGGCAGCCAGGCGAGTGGCCCTGCTGGTCCCTCTTCCACTCACCTCCCCAATCACCGCTCTCCCTTCCCGCCATCCAAGCCCAGACCCTGACCTCTATGTCCTGGGCCCACCAGCTTGCCAGCCCTCCTTGCTGCTAAGCCTTTACCCATGCAACCTGGCCCCCAGCCAGAAGTGCCTTTTCTTCCGTGTCTCCTTGGGTGGCACCTGCACTTCAAGGCCCTCCCACCCACCTAGCAATCCTTTTCTGGGCACGCCGGCTCCTTTTCCCTGTTGGCACCATCCCTGGGCACTCCAGCCTGGTGGGCAGGGCCATGCCCTACCTAGGGCAATATTAGTGCACTACGGAGAATGCGGATGGGGTGAGCCTGTCTGTGGAGGGCCAGGCTAATGAGAGAGGTGACGCGGGGTGCCCTGGAGCCAGCTGTGGATGGAGCAGGACTGTGAGTGCTCACCTGGGCCCGGTCGATCCTGTAGAAGCGGCTGGCAGTGGTGGCTGCGGGGGAGATCATGAGTTGGCTGAGGACGCAGGATGCCCTGTCTAGGCCCAGGTATTCTGCTGCCCCAACCCAACACCCCCAAGGGAGGGGGCAGCACATGGCCTAGGAATGCCAGGAGCTGGCCCTTTAGGGCCACTCACCGTCCAGAAAGCACCACTTGGGGGACAGTTTCTGGCACGTCGGGGACTTGGCTCCAGCACCTTCAGGGTCCTGCTGAGAGAAGCAAAGGCCAGGGCTGAGTGAGAACAGAACCTGGAGTAGGAGGGAACAGCATAGGGCAGGCCCCCGCCCCTCACCTGCTGGAGCCTCTCAATGTGGGCGCGGCAGAGCTCTAGATCACTGTCTCCTGGGACCACCACAGTGCCTAGTGGCACAGCTGGAAGACAGAGCAGACTGTCAGCAGCTGGCTGTATCTCACTGCCTGGTCCTCAGGGGACTCAGTGGCTCCTCAGTGATCCCCCCCCCCCAATAAATCCAGCCCTGTGTGCCACTCACAAGCCTCCTTGAGCTGCTCTTTGTCGTAATGCAGGGCCTCATAGTCGTGCATGCTGACCCTGCTCACCTGGATCCGAAGCTGCTCAGGCACTGGCTGCTGGCTAAGGGCAGGGGCAACAGGAGGGAACTCAGCAAGGACCCTGCCCAGGCACCAAAGCAAGTGTCCCCTCCCCATGGCCCTGGGGCAGAGGGACTGTTAGCTCCCTTTCCAGGTGGGAAAACCAAGGGTCAGAGAGGGACAGAGTCTGGCCTTGGGCCCAGGGCACAAGGAGAGTGTGGGGGAACATACTCGCTGTGCAGGGGGGCAGTGCTGCGCCGCTTGGCCTTCTGCACCATGGTGGCCTGGTTGCGCAGGGCGATGTGAATGCGGGAGGCAGCGAGCTTGCAGGGCTCGCCGTCCACCTGCACTGGGATGGCCTTGGACGTGGTGAGCACCACCTCACGGCACTGCGTCAGCCGCTCGCCATGCCCACCCACCTGCAGCGCTGCCTGTGGGCACAGAAAGCTCAGGTCAGGGGCCGGGTTGGGGTGGTGGGGCCCAGGGAGGCTCTAGCCAAAGAAATAGGGATCCGAACAGAAAGCAGAAGGAGGGTGAAACCCAAACAAGAAGAGAAGAGGAGGGCAAGATCCAAACAGAGACAATGAGGGTGTTTCCCCAGAGGCTGATGGAAGCATCCTCCCAGACACAGAGAGAGGAGGCGACAGTGACCCCCCACCAGAGAAGAGGTTTGGTGACCCCCCTTCCATCCTGAAGCCATGCTTCTGGGCTGTATCTCAGGGCCAGGTACAAAGTAGAGCCGGGGATCCGGGCAGGCCCCATGCTGGCCCACTCACCAGGGACGTCATGGTGAAGCCAATGACTTCGAGGTAGCCGTCATCGTGCCTCTGGGGCTCGAAGTCGTGGTGATCCCCTGGATGGCCCCAAGGCATAGTGCCCGCGCAGTACCTGAAGGGAAGGCAGCATGGCGGGCTTTAGGCTTTTTGAGTCTTAATAAATCCTTCTCCACCCTGAAGAGGAAGAATCTTATATTTTCCTTTAAAAATTGTGAAGTTTCGCTTTTCATATTCAGGTCTCTAATCCAGCTTGAATCGTGTATTTCTGTGGCGTGTGTGGTGTGAGGTAGGGAACTAGGTTATTTTTCCCACGTGGGTGAGCAGTTTTTCCAGCAGTATTTTTCCCCACTGATTGTTTTCAGCGTGTTTATTAGTGAATGTGCACAGCTTTGTTTACTAGTTCTAAAAGGGTTCTTGCAAATGTAATTTTATATATTTTTGAATTTGCCATCTTTATTTCAAAGAATACTTTCTTTCATAAGAGCATTATTTCATCTTTAAAAATGTAATTTGAAAATGTTTTATAAATGTAATTTGTGCACATGGAAAATTTATTTAAGTAAGAAATAAAGGATGGAGACAGCTGGGCCCGCACAAAGCCCTCCCCTCCTCACCTGGGGATGTTCAGGAAAACAATGCACTGGGGTTTCAGGTCCTGAATCTTGGGGGTCAGGTCAGTTCCGTCACACTGGAGGCAGGTATGAGGGAGAGTGTTGGGGGTACCTGTATGGTACCAAAGCAGCCTCCCTCCCATCTGGGCCTGCCCACTCCGCCTGCCAGCGCGGCCTGCTCACCACCACTCGGATGTGCTTGGCTAGATCCTTGGAGCTGCCCATCAGGAAGTCGGAGAAGGCTGTCTGTAGGAGACAGAGGCAGATGTCACCATCTGGTGACAGGGACCTTCCCTCGCCACTGCCTGATGGGTCCTGTGGTCTGGCAGACACAGGTGAGCAGGGGGCACAGGCGGCAGAATAGGTGGGCGTGGGAAGAGGGGTGTTGCTGGCAGACTCCAGACTCACCCCAGCATAGAACATCTTGTTCCGAAAGCGGCTGTTGAATTTCTCTGGGTTGGCCTCTGGGTGGCAACAAGAAATGGGGACAGTCAGTCATTCTGGGCCTGCTGTGGCTTCCCAGGCTGGGGTGGGTAGGAGGGCTGGGGATGAAGGCCTTTTACCAGGGGTGGGAGGGTAAAGCCTGACCCTCTAGGGGACACTCCTGTGTCCTTCCCTCCCCAGCCTCCCTAGGCCGCCTCAGCAAGAGCTTGCCAACCTCGAGACTCGTGAAACTCCAGTGTGACATGGGCATCAAAGCCTAGGCTGAAGTAGTTGTTGAAGACATCCAGAGGTAGCTGGGAAAAGGTCAAAGGTCCAGCATGAGGACTGTGACTCAGACACCACCCTACTCCCGGCCTAGGGGCACCACGCTGGCTCAGCCTGCGTGTTTGCAGCGGCCTTTCCCACAGTTAAAAAGATCCACCAGAAAGCTCTTCCCAAGCCCGCCTGCCCCACTCAGGCCTTGCCCTCTCAGGTCCCCTAGATGCCCTGGACACGAGAGCAGCCCACACCCTGCTGGCAGTCTCTTCCCCAGCTTTCTCTCCCCTATGACACTTCTTCCCTGATGAGTCATATTCTGTAGGAGCTGTGTAAGCAGGGACTTTGTCTTGTTCACTGCTTAGAACAGTGGCTGCAGGTGACATGTACTCAGTAAGTATCTGCCAAGTGGCTCAATAACAGCTATATTGTAAGGTGAGTACCACAGTCCTATCGTATAGATGAAGAAGCCAGAGTTTGGAGAAATGAAGACACTCACCCAAGGTCCCAGAACCAGCAAGTGGGAAAGTGGGGCCTAGCCCAGGTCTCCTGAGAATCCCAGGCAATCAGGTATGAAGAGGCCCCCCGACACCCACTGCCCCTGTCCCAGCTGACACACCCGGTCAGTGGCCCCCTCATCACGCTCCTCAGGCCCTGCCTCTGGGCTGGGCTCCGCGCGGAGGTCCCAGCGGTCCAGCTGCACCACGTTCCCTTCCTCCACGTGGGAGAGGATCTTGGACACGGGCTCATCCGTGTAGCCCTACAGAAGAAAGTAGGGACTGAGCCCCTCCCAAAGACAGGCCTCCCCAACCATACAGCTGACCCCAGCGGCCCCACCTCCAGTGGGCTCTTACCCCGCCCCAGTTGAGGGTGCGGGCCAAGTCATTGCCAGTACCCAGGGGCAGGATAGCAACAGGCGGTGGCGGTTTGAGGCGCAGCTGGTCCAGGGTGGACAGGATCCAGCCGACCTGGAGGGGGCAGAGCAGAAGAGGCCAGGTCAGGCCAGCGCGGCCCGGGCCCGGGCCCGGGGAAGGCGGGAGAACTCACGGTGCCATCGCCTCCGCACGCCAGGATCCGCAGGTTGTGCACTTTGCGGTACATCTCCAGCCTGGGGTCAGAAGACAGGAGTGGAGTCAGGGCATATGGGATGAACCCCAAGCGCCAGGCAAGTCCCTACCACTGTCCCCACAGAGCCCTGGCCAGTACTTACGCCTCCTTGGGCCCGCCCTGGCTCAGGTCAAAGACTTGCCGGGGATTGAGATACCAGAGGAAGGACTGGATGATTTTAGCGCCCTGTGAGGGACAGGAGCCAAGAGGGATAGGGAAGAGGCAGTCAGGCGTGGTGGGCTGAGGTGGGGAGAGGCACAGGTAGAAGGCTGTGGCTGTGGGAACCAGGCCCAATAAGGGGCGAGGGGTGGAGACAGGACTGGATTTTTCTCAGAATCAATGGGAACAGCTGTGTGGCGAGGAGGGGTGGAGGGAGCTTGACCCCACACATCCCCGCAGGCCCTCTGTGGAGTGGGGAGGCTGTGTGTACCTGGTTGCCCCCACTCTTGGGGTTCACAAACACCAGCAGGGGCTTCATGAGGGGGGATGGGGTGGGCCTGATGATGAAGGGTCTCCAGCGGCCCTCCTTGGAGACAGAGAGAGCCCATAAGACTCCTTCCTGTCCCGGAGGACCCTACCCCCACACTCAGTGGTGCCCTGGGTGCCCCTCATGTACCACCTCTGGGTCAGACCTTTTAGGGGGCCTGGCCATAGGGCAGCAATTCAGATCTGACCTCCCACACTTCTCAGGGTCCTAGAGCCCAAACCGACCCACCAAAGGCTGAGCAGGCAGCATCAGCCCAGGGGTTCTTCTAAGGAACAGGCCCCTCTCTCCTGCCCCTCCAGCTGCCTGCCAGGCCTCAGGTCTAACCTCGGGCCCTTTCTTGCTGGATTTCCTCTTGAAGGATGCTCTCTTTTTCTTCTTGCTTGCTTTCAGGGTGTTCTGCAAGGGAGGCAGGGGTGTTGGTGACAAGGTGGGTGGGCTGGGGGTGGCTGGCAGACCCCAAATGTGTGGGGATGTCAAGGATGCAGGCAGGACTCACCTGGGGCCTGCGGGCACGGAGGATCCAGGTAGGCGGGATGACCACGGCAGCATGGACCCCTAGGGAGCACGGCTCCTCTATTTGCTGCAGCATGAAGCAGGACACCTTGCTGTGGTACTGGGGGAGGGGGGGTAGGTTGTGGCTAAGCTGGGTCGAGCTGTGCCCAGGGACCCCAACCCAGCGCGCAGCATGGGGGATGGCTTGTGGGGGTGGGGTGAGCACCACTCACTGCTTGCTTGCACCAGGAGCAGCTGATGGCCACGATCTCCTTGCTGTGGAAGGTAAACTTCTGCTGGAAGCCCTAGGGTGGACAGGGCAGTTGGGGCACCAGAGGCTGGGCCCAGAGCAGCAGACCCAGCCCCTCTTCTGTTGCCAACCTCTCTCCACCAAGGCAAATTGAGTGCATTTTTAAAAAATTAAAAAACAAACAACAACAAACCAAGAACTATAACCCCTAGAGCAGGGAGGCTTAGCCAGGGGCTCATGAGACTCTAAAGTTAACTGCAAAGTGTTGCATGTGCACACGTGATCTGCTGGAGAGGGTCCACAGCTAACTCTTGCTTGCCACATATCCCCTCCTTCCTGACCCCAGACCCTGCTGGGCCCCCTGGTGGGCTCTCTCTCAAAGTACTTTACACTTCTTTATAGTACCTATCATGGTCATTCCCTTGCCTGGTCTACAAACATTTATTGAGGGCCCACTATGTGCCAGACACTGTGCTGAGCACCGAGAGTCAATGGACGAAAGGGGGACAAGAGTCCTTTTCAGAGCCTATGCTTATGGCGGGACACAGACAAGAAGCAAACAACAAATAAGTGAACAAAACCACTGCAGCTTCGGGGCTCGAAGCCCGTTTGTAGTCTGTCTTTGAGCTACGCCCTCCTCCAAGAGGGCAGGAACCCACCGGGTACGCAACAACACATCTGCTGAGTTAATGACTAAGTAAGTCTACATGATTCTCAGAGGGCTCACTCATGGCCTCAAGCCACACTGGACACACAGTATGGGGCTCAGGGGCCACAGGGCCTGGGTCTAGTGGGCAGCAGGCCAGGCAACTCCTTGGGCAGGGCCTCTCACCTTCCCGCAGTGCCGACACTTGCCATCCTGGCGTCGCCTGTGTACCCAGTGGTGCCGCACAAATGTTGGCTGGTGGAGGATGAGAAGTATCATTGGAGTGAGCGAGGGGTGGAGGGAACAAGCCCTGAGCATGGCCTGCCCCCCTCACTATAACAGTGATGACGGGAGGGGCTGCAAGAAGCTCTCCGCAGTCCTGTGCATTAAGTGAAGGAGCCAAAGACTTCTTTGTGGCCTGGAGCAGGGCTAAGGCTCAGAGGAGGCACAGGGAGGCTTGTGGTGCCCCACCACACCACCCCAATCTGCAGGCAGGGCCAGCCAGGCCTTCGCCTTTGAAATGGTCTCAGGGCCTCATCCCTTCCACCTCCTTGGGCCCCAGAGCAGCCTAGAAGCTGAGCGCGCTGGCGGTGCTTGGGAGACACTGCAGAGAAGTCCACTCAGGAAACTTGGGGTCTCCTTGCCCCTAAGCTATCTTGGGCACTTACCTCACGAACATTCCTGGAGCCTGATTCACGGAAGGATGGCTTACAGCGGAAATTTATCTGTAAAAGATTGCAGTGACCACCAAAACGTCAGAACCTCCTTTGGGGTCAGGCATATGGCCACCCCCTGCAGGAAAGGGTCACTCAGAGTCATCCTTGCAAGCTAGGGATAGCCCCAAATCATCCTGCGAGCCTTCAGAATGTGAGATACCTTTTCTCAGAGGCCTTCTGCATCCTGCCTCCTCTCCACTAGCCAGAAAGAACCTTTCCTTTCTCTACCCAGTATCTTGGAGTGGGAGAGAGACTGGGAGTTTACTGTCCATCTCCCCCACTAGAATGTCGCCATGGTTTCCTCCTCCTATGTTTTTTTCCGTGAACTCCAGCACACCCAACCTAGGCACATGAAGGCACCCTGGTCCTTGCCTGCAGACTTGTGCTGACTAGTTCCTGGAGACTTTCAGCTAATTTGTGGAACCCTGGTTTGATTTTCACTTTACGGGGTGGTGATGGGTCAGTAACACCTGGGGCTGCATTTGTTTCTATTTTCCTAACTGTCCCCACTTCAGCCTTAGCAAAGTTATAGGGAAGCCTCATCTTATGAGTCAGGAGTTGGGAGATACAGCCACAGCAGCCTTGTTCATACCATTCACAGTCCTCCAGGCTTTCCTGCATGCTGGTCTGTGTTTCTACTGCCTGAGGAGCCCTCCTGCCCTCTGCTTGGATCTTTCTGCTCAGTGTTCTTGCCACCTCCCTCTAGAAACACGGGGCCCAGACATGCCCCCAGCTGCAGACACACTGTGGACATTTGGCTTTGGGAAAAGGTCTGTATAGTAGCAGTGTGTAAGGGACAGAGACTAGCTTTGACACAGGACTGAGCCAGCCACAGCTGAGTTATGAAGCTTCAGCAAGGCAATGGCCCCTTCTAAGTGTTAGATTGGATACTGATAAAACGGCATCATAGCCATCATTCATTAATTCTTCCTGTCGAGTAACAGTCAATATGCCCCACTCTGTGCCAGGCTTGTTTTGGGCAACAGGGATATAGCAGCTAATAAAGGGGGCAGCCAAGATTCGAATGCAAGCATTTCGGGTTCAGGGTCCTTGGCTCTTCACCACCACACTCACTGGGGTGTTCCTGGCAGGCGATGCTGGTGTAATACGAGTATGTATGGACAGACACGCGTGTGTGCTCTGAGAGGCTTCAGCACCCGAAGGGGAGGGGCAAGAAAGGCTGAGCAACCACACTCACCTTCTCCAGCTGTTCAATACAGGGAGTGTGCACCACGATCTTGCAGGCTGCACACTTTCTCCTGGACACTGATTTCTGCTGCAGGAAAGAGAGGGCCCCTGAGGCACCAGGTAACTCCATCCCTGGATGCTGCTCCAGGGCAGGCAGAGAAATTCTCCCATCTGCACCAGCACAGCTGCCCTCTGTGTGTACCAGGAACCCCCAGTACTGGCTCCTGGCATCAGGACACAGCTCCCATTTCTCTCACCATCCTCAGGCAGCCCACAGCAGCGGGTGCTCAGGTGAGAGTCTTGCTCCTTCTTTCCCCTGGAGGGGCTGCAAGCCATCCAGCCAGCAGGGGTCAGCCTACAGGCTTCTAGACCTGGCTCCACCACCAGGGGGCAGCATGCCACACACAGCTTACTCACCAGCATCTTAGCTACACAGTACTGCTCCCCAACATAGCAGAAGTCCCCTGACACGTTGGTCTCAAACCAGATGTGCTCCCCATACGTCGCCGACTCCTAGACCGTGGGATGAGCATGCTTAGCGCACACCTGCCACCTGGCTCATTAATCAGCCCTGTCCTGGCCCACCAACCCTCTTTCCCCCAAAACAAACTTGCTCTAGCCACCCTGATCTACTTTGCTCCATCCTGTTTCCTCACTGTCCCTACTACTGAAGGCATGGCTCAAACATGGCCACCCCCCCAGGAGGATCGCCCTGACCCCATAGGCCCATGGGTTCCTCTCTCAGCCGCCCACAGCACCTCCACCCCCATCTGCTCCTGTGGCCCAGAGCCCAGCAGGGGCTGGTACCCTTCTGCCCCTCCCAGCACCAGCCACTCACGCTCCAGTCCACAGTGCTCCGGATCTGCCGCTCTGGCTCGCTGCACAGGGCCCCAGGAGCAGGAGCAGGGGGTGCCAGGTGCTGGAGGCCTGACTTGGTGATGGCTTTCCTACAGAAGAGGAGACAGCTGAGGCCAGCTGAGCACTTGGTGACTCAGCTTCCTTCCCCTCTCACCTGGGACCTCTGCTCTCACTGTGACCTCAGACCTCAACCCAAGGCCAAGATAGGGACAGCAATAGGGAGGGTAGATGACCCTCTACAGCAGCCTGAGACTCTGAGAGGATTCCTGCAAGACACTCATCCCTCCTCACAGCTTTTGGGGTGCACTGTTCTGAAGTGGGGTGCCCTCAGGCCAGACAGCCTTGAGGCCCTTGTTCCATGCCAGCCGGCTTGGAGGCTGTATTGCTCGCCCTGCCAGCCGCAGCTATACCTACGCGAGCAGGGCGCTCCAGGTCTGGGGTCCGGCCGACTTGCGCCGCAGGGCTACCTGGCGCCTGCGGGAGAGGGGGCGCACACGGGCGGGCATCGCAGGGCCAGCTGTGGTGCCTGAGGCTCTTCGGCTCCCAAGGCCAGGGTGCTGGCTGAGGCGCCGATAGCAACCATGCAGGCCCCAGAGGGCGCGGTCGTACACCACATCGGCAGGGAGTAGGTGGGAGGAGGCTCGGCGCAGACAACGCGGCACGGGCAGAAGGGGCCGGATGCCCCGGTACGGGGGTGACCCTGGTCTCTTGGTGCCTTGCTGAGTGGAACTCAACGCTGCAACTTTCACATCCTCCTCCTGGACCCCTTCCTTTTCCTCCTCCTCCTCTTCACTCATGCCTACAAGCTTGGCCAACGGCAGGGGTGCACCCAGAAGCTGTGCCCCCACACTGGCAGGCGGTGGGATGGGCACCTCATCCACGGTGAAGCGGGGGTTGCAGGCGGGGGGTGCAGTGCTGGATCGGCGGCGGCTGGTGCCCCGGGCCCGCATCCCACAGCCCAGGAGGCAGCCCTGGACCTGTGCACTGGAGCGGCGCCGCTGGGCTAGCGAGGAAGAGGCCTGCCCAGCTGGGGAGCGGCGCCGGGCCTTGCCTGTGGGCAGCCCCACACCGCTGGGACGCCGCTGCCCCTCTCCAGGGCCTGGGGCCTTCCGCTGGAAGTGTCTCCTAAAAAAGGTCGCCATGTAGGGGCAGGCGGGTGGCTGTTGGGCAGAGACCAGGGGCATCAGCTGGCCAGGCCATGGCCCACCCTGTGCCCAGGAGCCCAGTCACAGCCTCTGCCGTTTGAGCAGAGACACTTGGGGTGGGGGAACTATGGCCTCTGACTCAGTAAATGCGGTGTTTGAGGGAACCAGAGAATTATCAGGGGAGCCCACATTTACCACTGTTGGAAACACTAGCGTTGTCCCCAGTTATACCCCTTGCCTGCCCCAGGAGTAATGGGTAGGAGGGGCTTCCGGCTACCCATCCTGGCTTATCCTGTCCAGGCACCATAATCCACAAAGTCCTGGCCTAAAGGACTTACACTTGCTTGCCTGAAGCTGATAAAAAGAAAAAGGAAACTGGAAGTCTGGAGTCCTGGGTTCTAGCTCGGAGTTGGCCTAGACAGACTGAGGGGCCAAGGGCAAGGCTTTTCCTCTCATCAGGCCTTTGTTTTGCACCCACATAAGGCAGGGACATGGCACAAACCAAGCCATGGTAATAAAACAAGGTTCTTTGAAAAGAAACAGTCCTGACAAGACCCCCTGACTCTCTTAGCCCCAGTCCTGGGGTCAGGCTGAGACTGGCACCTAGAAATGGAGAGGGTCTGACATTTGCCTCAGAGATCAAAGGACCCTGGGGAAATAAAACACTCAGAGACCTGGAGAGGCAGCCGCACAGGGAGAGAAGCCACCCCAGTCTTCACCCAGGGGGGCTCTGTATGGGAAGCAACGAGAGGCTTGAGCCAAGAGAAAGCCTTCCGGATTCTGCGTGTGAGCGCATGCCTGTATGTGTCTCTGAGGGGCTGAAAGTAAGAACTTTTCTGGAACTAGACTGCTCTGTCTCACCCTTCTGAAGAGGTACAGTACAGACATCATCCCATGTGTGAAAGTACTGGGTGATGTCTGAAAACCCTCCTAGCTCTGTCGCTGAGGGTGCCTGTGAACTGTACCTTGTCCTAGGGGCCAATGCTAGAAGCCCCAAATCTCACAACTGCAAACTGAGCTGCCCTGAGCCACCTTCAGGGAGGGAGGGCCCTTGGCAACCATCCCTGCTCAAACCATCGCCCCTTGATTGGTCTTGAACATGTGCTCTGCTTCCTTAGCCAGCTCACCTGCTCCTGCCACCTCTTCTTCACAGGCCACTGCGATCACCTGTGCCCTCATCTCTCCCTAACAGTGGAGGAAGAGCAGGAAGCCTGGCAAGCTTTGGTGGGGACAATGCCTTGGAGCGCCCAGGGGTGCCTGTGTCACTCCATCAGATGCTCTCCAGGGCTCTGCCAGCCAGGGAGGTCCAAGTCATGGCCGTGGGGCATCTGCCTGGGGTTACAGGAGAAATACTTTTCCCTGCTGAGGGTCTGGCAGAGGTTAGGCATGGTGGGTGGGAGCCCTGGAAAAACAGCGGGAGATGAGGCGCTTGAGGAGTCAGGCCTCGCTGCATGTCTATCGTCTACTCCTCCCACCCACCTACCTACCCACCCGCTTTGATTTTCTACTGCCCCATGGGTCTGAGAAGGCAGCGTCAGGCCAGAGCCTGGATGGGTGCAGGGATACTGGAGGGGAGGCAGATGGGAGCCAAGGTGTCTGAGCTCCTGTGATCAGTGAGGAGTGGAGGCTGCCATTCTTGGGGGAGCAGTGTTCGAGACTCGGCTCTTGTTCTCTGCCTGTTATAGTCCCAGTCCCTGCAGGTGATAGGGAAGAAGGCAGGAGGTAAGCTCTGTGGGTGACCAGAGGAGAGAGCCTTTGGCTGCCTCCTAAAATCAATATCATCCTGGCTAACATTTACTGAGTTCCCCCAAGTGTCAGGCACTGGGTTGAGCTCTTTACAAACATGTATATCATTTAATAAGCCATAGTAACCCTAAATAGGTATTGTTTCATGCCATGTTCCTGATGGGAAACTGAGGCACAAAGAAGCAACTTGCCCGAAGTCCACAGCTAGTCACTTTAGTGCCAATGCTGGAACCCAACTCTATGTGAAGGCAAAGCCTGCACTCCAGAGATGCTGTGGGGAGTAGGGTCTTTCCTCTTGGGCCACGAGGCTGAGACTAAAGTGGGACGGGGTAGGGAAGGGAACCATAATAAGAACCATAATGGTCCCATTTACTGAACACCTACTAAGTGCCAGGCCCTGGGCTGAGCACTTTAAGTTACCATCTCATCGGATCCTCGCCACAACCACGTGAGGCAGCAGGACGAATGGCTCCGTTACAGAGATGACGGAGCAAAGGCTTGAAGAGGTAGAGCAATGTGCCCAAGGCCACACAGCTGGTCAGTGGCAGAACCAGGACCTGAACGCTGGTCTCCTTGACTTAGGGTCTGCTCTGCACCTAGGAAGAGGAGCCTGAAGGCCCAGCTGCCCACTGCTGCCAGGGCACTGGCTTGCCAGCATTCCCCCACGGTGTCAGCTTTCTCCGCCCGTCTAGTCAGGCTGCCCTGTGACAGCTGCCCAGCCTGGAGGAGATTAGTCACCCGGACATACCGCCTGATGCTAGTGTCGCCCAGAAAACAAAAGGCCACAGTTAGGGGAGGGGGAGGTGCTGCAGGCACTCTGTGGGCGGCCGTGAGGGCTGGGCCCGGCCTGCTGCCCCTGAGCCCCACAGACAAGAGAGGCCAGAAGGATGAGGTCGCCTATACATCTTGCCTCACAACAAGGGGCCAGCTTAGGGGTGCTCCCACAGTGCTCTGGCCCGCACATTGCCGGGCAGCCCCAGGTCCATGTCTGTCTAGGTACAGTCACTCAGAGATGGGAGCAAGGCAGGCCAGGCCAGTGTTGTGTGACCATGTGCCAAGCTGTCCGTTCACAGGCCTCAGTTTCTTTATTTGTCCAAGGAGGCTGTTAGCCTGGCTGATTTGACATTTTATGACAAGCTCTCCTACCTGGCACCTAAGTCCCTATGTTCCAAATACCCCCTTCCCCCAGACGCTATGCTTCCTGTTCCTCTGGTCTCCATAGAAACCTCTGTCCTCTGGTCAGCAACTGCCTGACTTCTGACTTTTTTTTATCTCTGCTGAGGCTTCTCCAGGGTCTGGTCAGAAGCCCAGCCTGGCCTCAGGCCTGTCCCAGCCTTTTTCCTGCCTGGACCTGGAGCCTTTTCCCATAGCACAGCTCTGAGCAGTAGCTTCTTCTCACCTCATGCCGTCACCTTCAACACACCATGAAGTATGTGTAAAGGTCACTGAAGGAAGCCCCACAGGGTTCCGATACCAGCAGCAAAGCAAACTGGCTGCCCTCCAGCCTCTCAGTGGAGGGCCTGGGGGAAGCCTCTCACACCCAGAGGGGACAGGCTGGGAAAGGGCTCATGGGCTCCATCAACCTCCAGCTAGCTTTTGGGGGCCTAGGGAGGACAAAGGAAACTACGGGAGAGACACATATGGTAGTATGTGGCCATGCACCTTTGATAAAGAGCAGTGAATGTGGCTGCGGGCAGCTGAGCCATGGCAGCTGCCAGTGGGGGTGAGCAGCATGTGTGCTCCAGCTAGAAAGGTCAGGACTCTTCACTTCCCAGCCTAGACTATCTCGCACTCTGTTAGTTCAAGTGGAAAAGCCCAAAGGCTTTGAAATCCTGCATCTGCCGTTACTTTCCTGGACTGATCGATTAACATTCTGAGTCTCAATGTCCTCATCTATAAAATGGGGATGATACCACCCTAGTTCAGAGGGTTGGCCTAACAGACGTTCTGGTGAGAAGATGGTATAAAGTACCTGATGATACGACACCTGGCAGAGAGAAGGGGTGTGGCAGGGCCTACACCCACAGCAGACACAAGGCGTGTGGAGTTTGTCTCTGCCCACGGTGGGGGTGGGAACCCAGAAAGGGAAGCAGGAGTACCCAGGGTGGCCACCACCTACCACATGAGGAACAGAACCTGGCAACCAGAAGTACCTGGGTGTCTGCTCATACTGTGAGGACTGTCCTCTGTCTCTGGTACCAGGCCTGGCCCCCAGGGACTCCTCTGCCTCTAGAGGTGCTTGAACAGGACTCCTTGTGGGGTTAGCCAGAGTGCTAATTCCATGCTGTGAGCAGGGCCCCATTCCCAGCAGCCACAGAGCAAGGGCCTGGAGCTATCTCCCCAAGGGGCTGCTGCTCAGAAGCCACCTCTGGCTGCTGTGCTCCCAAGCGGGGACAGCAGGAAGGCAGGATCCCAACTTCTCCAAATCTCTACTCACTAAGGGGATCCTGCCAAAACAAAACAAAACAAACAGAAGTGCATAGCGGGGAGCAGGTGGGCCTGCATGGTAAAGGAGACCAGGCCAGTAATGTTGACCTCCAAAGGGTCCGCCCTGGCTGAGGGCAGGCGGCC